AGTCTTTCCGGGGGCGCTTCGGGCCATTTCCGGGCCACCCGGACAGCTCGGGGTTTTTTTCCGGACCTTTCCGGGCCTTTCCGGACCAATTTCCGGGCCTTTCCGGACCATTCAGAATTTTTCCAAGTAATTTGTGACTTTTAAAACAATATGAAACAAGTGAAATATAGATTCCAGGAGTTAGAAATATAAAAAAAGGCTAAAAAACATTACTTTGGTTATTCAAACTCCTTTAGCAGGTGATCTATTGTCTAAGAACAAAGGCAATCATAAACCTTTTCTCTGTCCAGTATATGCTTTTTATAAATATAACACGCCATTTTCTTGTCAGTTGTTTAACCCTTGCTTTCATTTAAACATGCACCACATCACAGAAATAGTATTAATGCATCTTTCTTTGATCGTGCAATCTTCAGTGAAGATTCTTCTAACACAGCATGAGCTTCTTCAAAAACTTCTACTGTAGTATTCTTGCTTTCATTATACAAGAACGTTCATTGTTCATTATTTGCACAACAGCACTAAACTTGAAAGGTTTTCACTAAAAAATCAGACGGACGAAAGCACATCCACCAGTTCATCGAAGCTCTCTTTTGACACTCCATCTCGGGAACTCTTACCAATGAGATAGCTGTCATGCATTTCTTCGCACAACATTCGATAGCTGTCGTGGTATGGAATTGCAATTGCAAATCTTGATAGGTTGCTAATACTTGAGCTACTGTTTCTTCTTGTAATCTCGATGTCAAAGATTTTTCTTTAGGTTTTATCCCTATAGTTAAGCTAAACAGAAACTCTTCAAGTTCATCTATAATACCATACGGYATTAATTCCTGGGCTCGACTGAAATATTTCTCAAAATCCTCTTTCAAACATGGTCGTGATGAGTAATTCCACATAGATTCTTTTGTTTCTTGTTTTTTAATTAAAGAAATATTGCTTTCAATACACAAAGCATGAAAGCTGCGTAGCAAACTCAATATTTCTGCTGAAATGCTTTCTTGATGGGTTTTAGGAGATTGCTTTAAAATACGGTTTAGCTCGTCCATATTACAATCTCCGGATTTGATTAATCAGCGATTTTGTAACAAATTCTCAATATTACTTGCAAGTCAGAGCGCAGAGTGACTAACAGCCCAGATTCATGCAACAAATAAACGCTTAGACGAAACAATAGAGAACAAAAGGACAATTGTTCGGAGATTAAGTGAAAGGCTCACAAAAATGAATATATAATAGCACACAAAAATATTGAATATATTAGCCCACAAATATTCATGAGGGCCCACAGATTTTCCCCACAAATCCGACAAAAAATCCGGGCCCAACTCCCCCGCTAATACTACTGCTAGTCTCCTTCGCAAGAATTCTCGTACCCAGATCCTTCACCTTTTACCAACGGAAAAATCGAAGACTCTGGTTGGATAGAAATTAGTATTTCATTGGATTAAAATTCTTAGTCTTCCGGATCGTTTCCTACCAGATCCTTCCATTTACCGTTTTTAAAAAATTAAACTTTACTCCTGGTGAGACCCGTGCTGATCGTAAAACCTGCCGGAACTCGGGAAGTGCAAAAGCAGACAACACCGTTATTTCGCGGTAAATGTAATGGCCATAGGAAAACCAACAAGGGAGAAAAAAAAAGGAACTAAGCCTGCGAAGGAGATATAATGGTGGAGATAGTCTTACCCATTCAAAGTCAAACATATACTCGGAGTCTGGATTACCATTGTGTGCCGGCAACTTGAAGAATTCGAGCTGTTTTTTCCTGTCGATGTAGATATTTTGTTCAAATTTTGTTCCTTTCTCGGTGATGTGAAACTTGAACCTCTCGAGAGATTTGTCCCTTGGGGCATAAAGGTCTAGATCATTCATCTGTGTGGAAGTAACAAGATATGACAAGAAGCAAACAAACCGATTTGGCATTTTCCAAATGATAATCCACCTTAATCACATTCACGGGAGGGTCACGAAGGATCTATTTCAACTCTAATATGTTTTATTCAATTCTCCATAAAAGATTACAGATTTAAGAAAAAAATCCATTTTTTTGGACCGACAAAGGGCTCCCAGCAGGTTCTTAACATGGTTCAGCTGGAAGATGATTATAAATTGCATTGTCCGTGAAAACAAGTACCTGTCAGTAGATATAATGGAATTTCTTACGAACAGCGATTTTGTCACCTTTGTGACTTTTAAAAACGCGGTTGATAACGAATTTCATTACTTGTAAGTAAAAATGTAAAAAAGTAAAATGTTATGCAACAACAACGAAATAGTTATGCTAAGGAAAGCTGTCTTGGAAAGCTTGTATAACATAAATAACAGTTTCAAAGCCCTCACAGGTTACCATTGCTTACTCCTATTTATAATATAGCCTAGATAGTACGGCTCTGATAGGCTGAAAGCCTAGAAAAATGTATGCTCTATTTCGCAACAAAGGTCCATTTTGCATGACCATGCGCGAGCAGCTGTATTGTCGCATTGTTACTTGCAGCCTCACAACAGGCTACCCGCTCATTTATTTGTTACACGACGGCGAAAAGCTATCGTGCATTCCTTTATTTCTCTATATTTTCGGTTCCATCGTTATTTGCGAGCGTAATAAAGAAATTGAATATGTAATAAAGTATGCAACAACAACAATTAAAAAAAAAATTATCGATCTGCAATGACATAGCTAAAAGATCTAGTTTGTAACAATCAATCGTCTAGGGGTGGACGCGCGTATATTTGTGGCGCTTGATAAAACATAAAGTATAATAATCAGGGACTGAATAGCAGTCGAGTTCGGATAGCATTTGAAAAATTAGCGGATTCCATCAGAAAAACGTTTAATACTATTCAGTCAAAATTTGTTTTCTGAGCAATATATTGGGGAGCTATAGTCCCCTTCCCCACCTGTTTTATAAGATAAGAAGATCAGATGACAATACATGAAATCAAAAGAAATGTTGCAGATTTGTTGTACTCGATGTTACATGCAGTAAAGAACTGTGTGAAGATTACATTATTTCCAGGGAGGGGTGCAGGGCACTCAGCCAGGAGCTCTCAAAGAAACCATGACAAAAGAGACACAAATTAAAGGAAGCATACTAAATCTGGAGGGGGCTAGGGGGGTTATTGCAAACTCACTGCGCCCACCAGCTGAATTAGCCCCTATCTGTGGTTAAAAACAAGCTTTAACAAGTGGATATGATACCAGAGCATCATACGGTAGAATATTGCAAATTAGTCAATTTTAAAAAATTAGCCAATTTTTTAAGAAATTCAAATTTGATATATCAGAAGCAAAGAAACAATAAACCATATTTTAAGCATATATACTCCAGAAATTTAACCTGAATAAGACTTACAGAAAAAGCGTATTTTCCTGAGCGTAAATTATGTAAACATCTCGACAGAGAACGAGCTGCGAAACATTGCTGTGACCAAGGAAGCTCAAGCGTATCGTGCATGCGCAATGAAATGGCCCCTTGTTCTATTTCGCTGGTAAAGTCACGGGTCGTTCCCTGGTAGCGGAAAACAACAACATTACTCTCAATTTCAAGTTGTTCAATAAATAGATATAATATTCACTTGTCTACAACGGTCTTTACAGTAGGTTCTGAAATCTGCCACTGAACGACTAGGGATGTGACCTTTCTCGCTAACGTCGGCAATACTAAGCTACGTTCGTATTGGCGACGCTGTCTTTGAAAAATCGCTTCCCGCCTCTGATTTCTTCCTGAAGAGTGTCTCTGCCGCCTAGGCGAGCTTTATAATGCAGTCCTAGGGGCTTCTGTGGCAGCAAATGACCTTTTAGAAACACTTTTAGAAAACGGTTTTTTGGCGAATTTGAGAGCGATTTCCAGGCCATCTCAAATTCGCCAGGCGTCTCTGAAGTAAACAAACTCAGAAGAATCTACAATAATCTACAATAGTTTGATTGACAACTCCTAATATGGGGTACACTTAATATTTTTAAATATCATTCGCAAAAACAAACTAAATTCAGAAATAAATCACGGACAGGAAAGAGTTAAGCAACTTACACCTCGTGTTGTCTCTCGTGAATGACTTTTCCTAGAAGACTTTGCCGTGAACTCGAATTTTTAGGTTCATCCTTCATTCACGCTATTCTGTCTGTTCTAAGTCACATTTATTTAAGGAATAAAAGACGAAATTCCGTGTTTGATACTCTGATCAAAACACGCGGGATGTAGGGAGAGCAYGAGAGAAGCGTAGGAAACCACGACGCGTAGCGGAGTGGTTTCCAGCTTTTCGAGTGCTCTCCCTACATCCCAAGTGTTTTGATCAGAGTATTAAAAACAGAATTTCGTCTTTTTTATTTCTTTTCTAAAATTAAAAGAATACGAAAATTGTAAAGAATTCTGACTTTTGATACGATATGTGGCTGTCGTCTATCTCTGCAAATCTCGAAGTAGCTTCTGCAGCTCCTGTAGCTTCTAAAATGTTTGATAGCTCTTCTTCTGGGGTATCATCCCAGAGGAAATCATAAATAGGCATTTCTTGTTCATTGTTCTTGAAAATGAATGATAACAACAACAAATGCAAACGACGGGAAAAAAAGAAATTTTTGACGCGCGCGAGCGTGTTTTGATACTGTAATCAAACATGGTTTTCGACCAATCACAGCGCGCGTAGTATCCTAAATATTTTAGAAATATGGATGGTACATAAAATTTGGTAGACATGGTTTTGATATATCTATGCCACCATCGCGCCTGGACGATCAAAATCGAGATTTTTTCTGCCCTAGCGTTTAGCAGACCTATCTCTCCCTTATACGTTCGGGGGATACTAGAATGCCTCCTCGGGGGCAATTATCTTGTGGGCTTCGCTTAGCTAAGCACTCTCCACTTTTAAATAGAAATCAATACTTAGCAATGCATATCTTGTAACTAAATATGTTACACGTTAAAATAAAAAAAATGTCTAAAAAAAAACTGTCTCAATCATGCAATAAGTCAAATAAAGAATCATGAATGACAAAGAAAAAGATTAAAATGATATCATTTTACTGCTCTTTGGAATGAACTACATATTTTTTTAAATCTTTGCTAATATCCTTGCAAAAATTATTAAAGTCGTTGAACCAAAGTCATTTAGCAACGTGAATTTAGCATGCTGCATCACAGCAAACTATACTGTCATACTGGTGCTTTTTTCTGCAATCAAATTGTTTTGTCAGCTTATTCAGACTGCAGCCATATATATAATATACGCAAGTACCAGCTCTTTGCAGAACTTTGCAAGTAAGTTTCCAGTCATTAGGATTGCAGCCTATCGGGGTTCCTGGATTGCAAAGAATGAACTTTTTGGTGGCACGTTTTGATCTTCCTGAAATAAAAGGGCAATAAACTCATTTCTCATAAGAGCAATGTTTGCAAGTTTGTGTGATCACTGGTGCAAGCCAAATGGAGTTATATGTATGACATTTTTGGTTACCTGTAGTAACGGTCAATTCTAAGAAAAATGTATGGAGTTGGAATAAAATTGATCTTGAAACACCAATGTTAACCACACCTTCTCAGTTGCTCTTAGGATTCAAGCAAGTTAATTATTATTTTGAATTTGACAAATGAGACTATTCAYATCAATGTTTGCATTGCTCACATTCCTACAAATTCAAAAGAATATTTAAAACGCTGTCGAGGCCTGAGAGCAACTGAAAAGGTGTATTCTACACACGTGATTCTTTAAGTGTTCATTCGTACTCCTGTTAACACTAATTAATATAATAAAGCTGCCAATGGCAACATAACTCGAAGATTGATTGTTAGACGAATTCGGAACGATGAATCAAGTATAGTTTAAGTAAACGATTTACAAATATATTTTTTTTTCGTTAAAATCTTATTATTTTAACTTCGGTTATGGATAAGTTGCCTCCTTAAAGCAGACATCCCAAGCGGTTCGATTCTCGTGCTTACGGAGGTTAGCGAGCGTCAGCGAAATAAATGCCAGTCTAAGCCATTTGCTTAAGTAATTTGCCATCGTAGCTCAGTGGATAAAATGTGGTCTTTGAGTGCAGACGGCCCCGTTACGAGTCCCAGGAAATATTTTTTTTTAAATTTCTTTTTTTATTATAAATTATTTTTCCCAGCAATTCTTTTAAGAATGCTTACTATGTAACGGTGAATTAAATGATAGTTGGTTCGATTGAATCCCGACCAACTGTAGGGCACCATTGTACTACGAGTGTTTGCCAGTTTCCGTAGCGGAAAGTATTATCGATATCTAACCACACAATAAACTATATATCAAATACTACAATGTAATAGTACGTTAGCGAGTGAAAACATTTTTTGAATTGTAGACGAACATGAATAAATAAAACATACGTAAAGTGGTTTTCGAAACCAATTAGTCGGATCGGCGAGTCTTCCTCATGCTTCCGTTGTGAGTCTGAACAACATATGACAACGAGTCAAATTATAATTATACACAAAATAGTAAATTTCAGCACTTTAATAGCTTATCTGAAGATCTTGTTTTCTACGTAAGTTCTTAAATGGTCAAATTCGGCCGAGACGTTTATCAACAACAGTTTAGGGTCGAGAAGCTTCATGTAAGCTTACGTTTCCCTGGATCCGTTTCACTGATTCTTTCTAACTGTCGACACACACTCGGAGGGGAAACCGTTTTAAAAACTTATTTCAAATTGTTCATTTTACGCAAAAGAATAGAATCTTATAACGCCATTATATTTCCTCGAAGCCCTAGAGAAGTAGTTTTATCGATTATGACACAGGAAACCCATGGTTTGATCTCGTGTCGCATAAAAGCTAGTAAAACAGCCATGACGTAATGTCTAAAGCGCACATGGTCTAGTGGTAGTGTCTCTGTCGTTGAAGCGAGAGTTCGGGGGMTCGAGCCACATCGAGTACATGAGTTTCTTTCTCTTCGAAAAAAAGAAAAGAAACAGGTAGACCGTGAAGATGAATAATTAAAAATTAATAAGTCAAAAAATAGCAGTTACTAAGGCAACAACGAAGTTTACAGGACAGTGAGTGAGTGAGTGACTTAGTGAGTGACATATCGTTCCCCCACAATAACTCTTCGATTGCTAACGCAATCTTCGAGTTAAAAACTAGGTAACACCAAATAGCGGAGCTCCAATAGCAAAACAAAAACAAAGCTGAAAATGATTAACTATATAGTATTACTATTTTAATCAAATATTCTAAACATATGTATTCATTTTAGCTTATAATAATTAAGAAACAGTATGTTTATGAGAATTTCGTAATTTTTAGTATTGATTTCGGTAGATTTTTGTAACTGAAAGTTTCTCGGCAAAAATATTCTACATAAACTTTCAATAATCGGATTAAAGCGGCAAAACTTCGACGTTTGGAGACGTTTTAACCCTTCCCTACTCGAACTTCACATCACAGTAAACTGTATGAAAAATAAAAAAATATTTTTTTTACCTTTACTATTGAACTTCTACTTTCCATTAAATTTACAGAAGTTTGGACACTTACATCATATTTACATCAAATTTACAACCTTTAAAGCGTGCAATTTTTTCCAGTGTTTAGTGCTTTAAAATGGCTAAAACTTACAGAATTTGCAGAGAAATTGCTTTTCAAGATCTCGACCATTATAATTTTACACTAGTCCCCTCTTTGAAAATAAGGAATCCCACAAAAAACACAGGTTGCTCACGCGAATGTTAGACAATTGTTTGATATAAACGCAAATTAAATCACCGCAAGTGTCAAAAAGCAATAATATCAAACCCTCTGGGTGATTTGAGAAAATGCGACTAGCCAATCAGCGCAAAGCTGACAAGCTTATGTTGTAAACATAACCCTCCGACGGGAGGAATTTGCACAGCAAAACTCCACCCAGTGGAGGAGGCTGCCTGTCATTTTATTCTATCCGATAAATCAAAGCTAAAACGCAAAGAGAAATTGGAAATCTTTATAAAACAGCTTTTATTAATTGTCAATCAAATATTTATCGTTATAGAAATAGAATTTTATCTTAAAATGAAATAACAAATATTTTTTTCTTTAATACCAAGAGACTCCCCTCCCTGATAAAAGTAATTGGTCTGTGTTCTACGCGGGTTCTCCATTGCATGCGAAGCAATGGCCGACTTCACGAAGACTTCAGAAGGTCGTTGAAGCGACATTCAAGTCCAAAGTATCTTAGCTCTTGTTTCCTCTAAGCTTTGGGGTATCTACAACATCACTGAAAGAGCTAGAGCAGCTTAGCTCTACGTATTCCAATAGAGTTAAAGCGTTTAATATTTTTGGTACAAATCAACTGTCGTAGTTCATCCTTTGTCGCATTTTCGGCAATAAGCCGCAAGCAACAGGTTGACGTTATGTAACAGGTCGGTTACACATTTACTAGCTTTGACCTTACAACGAGAGCTAGAACGGTGACTGGGGTTTTTCGTGTAATGTCTTGATAGCGACTGTTTATGTTGCGAAACTACTCAAAACAAAATTCCCTCGTGAAAAAAGTTCGACTAAATTCCCTTCTGAAAAACACGTGTGTATTTAAGGTGGATAATGTTTCATATGAGCATTCAATTCTTAAAGGTTTAATTCTATAATCATTTTGTTTAGTTATGTAAATAAATTTAACACGACTTGTACTGTTTGTCTGAGTGAAAGGAGAGCTGCGGGTTTTCCCTTTCTTTATTTACACTTTCAAATATGACCGCTTAACAAAAATGCACGGGCTCACTGGCTTACAACHWTDGCGARYTYATATGCAGGCCTGGTCGCAAATCAATCACCCAGCTATAAAGTAAACACAAATGCACTTCAAAGGCAATCAACTATATCTTGGGAGTTCAATTATTTAACAGCCAATCAGTAGTTGGTTTGGCAAGAAAATTAATGTAAAAGGGACAATTTTTTTAAAAAGCTGAGTCTTCATTGTTTCATTTTAATATTACAATGCCCCCAATTCAGGTCAACAATAGAAATTCTAAATAAGCCTTTGATCTAGCCTAACTTAGCATTCTTGAGTGTTTAGTTTTCCAAAAAAGTGGGAGGTATAATCGATTTTATTTGTAAAAGCAACATTTTTTGCCCTTGGAAGGAAGCCCATTATGTGCGATCAAGGATTGATGGCCATTTGTTCATGCAGCTGAGATAAAAAAGAAAATGTTTCCAAATGCTCTTTCTTGCCCGAAACTCATAAATTGCCTTGAAATTGGGTGGTGCGTGTCAAAGTTGTCTACTTCAAATCTAATATCCGAAAGATCCGTTCTCCTTTCAAAGGATTGATCTCCGCACGTAAATTCCATGCTGTCTCAACTTACATTCCTATTGAAATTACTTACCAGTTTTTCCAATGGAAACCGAGTCAAGACTGAACGGTTCCAGACGGTAGACTGGGAACTTGCCACAGAAATCGCGAATTTCCTTCCTCAATTTTGATTTGTCAACCTTAGGACCAACTGACCACTGGTTTACTACCTTTTGAATATTGTGCTTAGATGATCCAGACAGCTGGAAAAGAAGGAAATCGAAGCATTTCAAATTCGGAATTAAAAAAGGCTTGATTTTATAAATAGATGAGTATTGCTAAAACTAATCTAGACTATTCGCTGAACTGTCTCTTACGAATCAAAAACTCGTAAGGGTATTGAAGCGCATACATCCCGGGATTACTATTGATTAGTATAATCATTATTTTCTCGTGGAACGTTTTTGAAAAAAACTCTCAATTCCCGAATATTTTAATTCAAGTAAATTTTACTGGGACATTTAACTTCCAGTAAAAAGATGCTTTAAACAGACATAAAAAAAATGAAAGCACTAGTGTTGCAACAAGCATCAAAATTTGCTGCTTTCGGGTTTTTATCCAAGGTAAAAAACTGCTGTTTCTTTTTTTATATAGACAAAAAAACAAACAAACCTAGTCAAATCCCGCATTTTAATTTTTTTATCTAGAGGAATTATCATCACTCGCTTTTAAGATACAGATTTTAAATCAATCTGCATAAAACTATTCCCAATTCAAGTTGTTCTTATGCGACTGTATTTAGAAATATAAAACACAACTCAGAAATGCACGAATGTATACATTTCAATACCGTTGTCAGTTTCCGAATACCATCCAAGTGAGCAATCTCGCCTATAGTTTAGAGAATTTTCCATTTTATTTGATATTATTCCTTTGTCCTTCTCGTCACTACTTAGACCCTTTCCTCTTTCAACAGCGTCACGCACACATCAATGCTATCACGTCATCAAATCGTCCTTATTGGCGTGATACAATAAATTATATCATCAATTTAACACAAACAGTGCTTTACCGCGTTCAATCCTTTGGCTAACGATTTCGGTCTTGGTAAGTCTGATGGTAGTGGAGAAATGTGACAAACTCGGTTCTCCTTAATGCGGCTCACTGTCATATTCTGAAAAAACAAATTGCAATTGGTCTGTTTAAATAAATTGATAACAAGGTTAAAAGTTGGTGTATGCATCATTCAGAAACTACACCGTTCCGTGGATAATCTGGTGTATTTATGAGTTAACAGATTTTGTCGTTTAGAATCAAAGTTTGGACCTGAAGACGTATTTTATATGCACTTTAAATTCAACATTATTATACGGACCTATACGTCGTCAGTTAATGCTAGCCTCCTTCGCAGGAATTTGTGAACCTCCTTCACGACGGTTTACCAACGAAAATCGAAGTCTCTGGTTCGAAAGAAATGGGTCTTTCATTTGATTGGTTCAAAAATCTTCCGGCTCGTTTCAAACTGGAGACTTCGATTTTCAGTTAGTGAAACGAGAAGTATCTCAGAACTAGAATAACTTGGCAGGGAACTTTACTCCCGATCCCGGTGAGATCCGTTTTCCGCTTAAAAGCACTGTCACAGTCGAAGTCACCACAAATCTTGTAAGTAAGTCGTTATTGATTTCTTCCGTTTTTCGTCTTGTAAACTTATATAGTTATAGTAACACCGTAATTAACACAGTAATTGTTTATTTGAAGTAAATGAGATTTGAGTAAGTGGATGGACTGTGTCCGTAAAGACCACCAACCCATATCAAACCTAATGGTGACAAAAAGTCCGTGATCACTCAAACGTAACCTTACAGTCAAATTCGACGAGAAGAGACCAGATTTCAAGACTTTTTGAAGAAATGCAATTATATTAAAGACAATCCTAAAAACCTACCATCGAATCTAAGAAATATATATGTGACCTTTCTGTGTATTTTTCGTGAGAAAATTTGAAAATCCAAGTATGTATTTTCGCCTTTGAAAAGTTTGAGTTGAGCATCAAGATAGCCAAGCGATCACAGGTAACCCAACTAGCTAGGCATTTGTCTACTTTTTAGAAATATTTAAAATATAACAAAAATAAACATATCTACCTTTGTATTGTGTTTTTCTTTACATTTTTTGAAGTTTCAGGCCATTTCCTTTAATTTTTATGCTTGTGGTTTTGATTTTTCTTATGAAGGCTATTGAAGTAAAAGCTTTTGTTGAAGAGTCCCAGGGTTTCATAGAGCAAAATCCGAGATATTTTTTTAAGGTTTTTGCTTTTCTAATGACCGATAAACCTATGTATTGTTTAAAAAAATGCCGCATTTGTGCTGTTTTTCGGCCTCTTCATTTATAACATATCAAAAGATCTAATCTAAGAAATCTAAGCAAATGTCACCCGAGTGTATGGCAATAAGTTTGATATGCAAAAAAGTGTTTTCAATTAGAGGTACTAAGCCAGAGAAGGAGGGTTCAGGAGGGCTAGATGATGTGATGTTGGAAGCTGTCTTACCATTTCAAAGTCAAACATATACTCGGAGTCTGGATTCCCATTGTGTGCCGGTGACTTGAACAATTCAAGCTGTTTTTTCCTGTCGATGTAGATTTTTTGTTCAAATTTTGTTCCATTCTCGGTAATGTGAAAATTGAACCTCTCTAGAGATTTGCTCCTTGAGGCATCCAGGTCCAGATCATTCATCTGTGTGGAGATATGATATGCGTTTTAATGTAAAAATTTAAAGCAAACAAATCTACAAAAATATCTGATTATATAATATTGCATTTTGCAAATGATAATCCACATTAATCCCATTCACGAGGGAGGGATGCAAAGGAACTATTTCAACTGTAATATATTTTATTGCGTTCTTCATGAAGGATTACAGATTTTAATGATTCTAAAATAACTATGAAGTTTTCATAGTTCGTGACCGTCGTGACGGTCGAATTCAGGGCAGAATGGTAAACTAAACCGTATCAATTTGCAAGAAATAAACACTCAGTTCTTTTAAATTCAAATTATTTCGATTAGATTCTCACCAAACTCAGATATTTTTGTTAGCGGAGCACCATATATAAGAAAAATGGTAAACCATCGAGTCCATTTTTTTTGACCGACAAAGGGCTCCCAGCAGGTTCTTAACATGGTTCAGCTGGAAGATGCTTATAAAATGCATTGTCCGTGAAAACAATGTTATACCTGGATCTATAAGTCAAAAATCAGTGAAGGAGCTAGTTTAGGAGCTAATTATGGATATACTTAGGATATAAGATATAAGTGCAGAATTATACAATCAAATTTATGTTTACAAGCCTGAGGTTAAATATTAAAGCGTTAAGTAATCAAGAACCTTTGAATAAAAACGCTTAAAGTAATTTGAAAGGATAAATTCGTAAATATATAAAAAAGATAACAAATTTGAAAATATTAATTAAAAAAGAAATAAGATAAATTATCAATTGCTCTAGTTTTGACAGTTTGCACAGTTTGTTTGCAATAATGATCTGCACATAGCTTTATTTCACTATAAACTAACTTAGCCTCCTTCGCAGGCTACTCCATCGGAAACGGACATTTTTCTCTTCTTGGTCTTCCTGTGTTCATATTCTTGACCGAGAAGAACTGGTGTCCAGAGATTAGGAATTAACGAACAAGAAGAGTAACTCCTCCTGCTTTTCCTTCCTTCCTAGCCCCTCCCCCTCCGGCAGCTTTTTTGCCTTAACACAGGAATCCCACGGAGTAGAGTTGCCTGCGAAGGAGGCTAAAACTAACTAATGGAATTCTTGCTTCTTACTTTAATAACCTCAACTTGGAAAATAATAAAATTCATAATCATTTCACAAGAAATCAAAAAAATCTTCATAAAAGACACATTAGAACCAATTATGCCAAATTCTCAATCAGAAATAAAATAACTACTCTATGGAATTCTCTTCCTGAAAAAATAAAGACAATTTCAATTTTCAAGAAAAAAATAAAAGATTTTCTCTCTGTATAATTACCTATTATATACACAATCATACTCGTATATATTATGTGAAATAAATGATTGATTGATTAAAATAAATCTAAAAATAAATCTATAAATAAAAATAGAATGCTTTGGCGTGGCGTTACCTCTTCAATAGGATGACCCTTGGTGCTACAGATACAGACGACAAGAAGTACAGCCACTAAAAATTTCTGCAAATAATCAAATATTATAACAGATTCTCGGAATCGAGTTTTCGTCTCAGAGTTTTTAAATCATTTCTTAACAAAAAATGTATTATTGGATAAAGTCTAATTATCAAAAAAAATTAAGGCAATCACTGGCAACGGCTCGCTCCTCTTCTCCTTAAGAGGAACACAGTTACCCGTACAGTTGATTAGTTTCCAACCATATCAGCCAAAAAAATAATAATAAAAAAGATACAAGCATGCAGTCAACCAAAAAAAATTACAAGCAATGCAATGTAATAATAATATTAATAATAATATTAATTTTTACTTACCATCTTTCAGGCAGGTTTTCTTCCAGCTCTTACTTCTGCTTTGAAGCAATGGTAGTTTTTATGATTTTGTCTGACCTTTATATGTACTTATTCGCCGGGGGTAACCTTATTCCTTATTCCTAACTTGATCTGATGGCATATTCCTTCAGAAAAACGGGATGTAGTTTACACCTCATGTAGTCTGACTCAGCACTCGTGACGATTCTGGAGTTCCTACATCTAGGGTGGAAGCATTTTATCCATGAAATAAAAAAAAAACAGCTAATTAAGCTATGCAAATTTCTTTGTTTTGCATCGTCCAAAAAAAAAAACACATTTCACGGATTTAGTGTTCATTCTTACTAAAAATACTTAAGTGATCAGAACTTTCATTTTCCACATTCGTAACTCGATCCGATATTAGTGTGAAAGCAAAGCAGGACGTAAATTTTTTCACAAGGTCTGTAAACCCCAGGCAATATCATACATTGCCAGATTGATAAATTTCTCCCCGTTTTCTTTTGTAGTTTTTAGAAATCGCAGGGAAAACCCTGTGGGATACATGACATGAGAAGACAGGTCAGCTTAACATAAAGTGTACATTGTCAGATTAATAATTTAGCCCCATTTTCTATTGTGGATCAACACCCTGTATAGGAAGTATATGAAAAACGCACAAGGAAAACAAATAGCGCACCAAAGAAAAATCTACCTGTAGGTTAATACCTTATTCGTACTAATGTTCGCGAGCACTTAATTTGCGAATTTTAAACACAAATATTTCGCGAGCATTAATTTTCGCGATTTTTGAAAAAAGGATAAATTTAGTGCATTTAATTTCGCGCAAATTGGAAAAACAGGCGGACAGAGAGAATTAAAATCCCTTTTTTCACTGAATGATTACTTAAACAAGAATCGAAGATTTGTATATAAAGTGAAATGATTATAGAAATGTATTAAATTTCGCGTGTATAATTTTCGCGGATCCTATTTTTCGTGAGGCTTAAATTTCACGTTTTATTTTAAATCGCGAAAATTAGTACGAATAAGGTAACTAGTATTCATAAAAATGTAAATGATTGAACAAGTTTGTCACTATTATTTCAGCTTTACAGAACACGGAAGGTTCCAGGATTTGACTCTTGTCATCCTCATGTGGGGACACATAACACGCGAAGACATGCCAGCTGACAAGGAAGTGTAAACGATAGCCTTTGCACCGCATGCATGTCCAAGCGATCCTAAATCAAAGACCCAGGCAATGTTGTACATTGCCAAATTGACAATTTTCTTTAGCAGATTTAATAAAACGCAGGCGGAAAACACTCTAGCTAGCCTTGTACTTTAGTGACGATCAACACTATCTTGGAGAAGAAATCTTCCTATTGACCATTGATACTAAAAATAATACGATCAGCACTTTTCTCTTCATTAATCGTAACCTGATCCGATATTAGTGTGAATTAGTTCCCTCAGCAAAGCAGGACGTTAATTTTTTCACGAGGGCTGCAAACCCCACATTGATAAATTCGTCTTATTTTCTTTTTAGCATTATCGAACGCAGGGGAAAACCCTCTAGTTGACCTTGTACTCAAGTCTCGATCAACACTTGATTTTTTTATTCCAACCTCATCCGGGTGAAATCTGACATATTATGCCCATTTTCCGAATATGTAAAGAAAAACAAATAGCACACCAAAACCTGAGAAAAATCTATCTGTGTCAAAACTGCACTTGTAGGCTAATAGCTAGTAGCAATAAGAGACTAATATTTCCGCTCTAGAGAACACGGAAGCTTTTACTATGAGATTCTAGACGTCCCGACATGGGACACACAACATGCGAAGACATGTCAGCTAAAAAGGAAGTGTAAACGATAGGCTTTGCACCGCATCGATACTAAATCAAAGGCTGTGGTTTTACTTCTTGAAATTAGTATACAGCAACGTTTCCAAGAGAAACATCGATATTAAAGAAGAGCAAGCTTGTATTCCCGTGAGATGGTAAGGCATCAATTCATATTAGTAAGATGTACCACTAAGAACTTTTCCAAATAACATCAGTATTGTCAATAAGCTATAAACATGCATTTATAAAGTTTTTCGACAATGAATATCCAATAATTTATTCGATGCAAGTATGGTGTCTGCATTCTTTCATATTTATCTATTTTATAACCATTCAAAAATGTACCCATTTTATGTCAGAAGCTCATATGAGCTCTCTGTAAACCCATTTAAATCACCCATTTAAAAACCTCTGAATCTACTTTCAAAAACTCATTAATTATTCATGAGGTATTCAGCCAATCCCTGATTGTAATTTGTACCACATGAAGTAACTTGAAACCAGAGGAAGTACTCGTACCTTGTATTCTACCTTATTTCCAGTTACTTCTACCTTTTTCAAGTTACTTCTACATTATTTCCAG